AATAAATTCCCTAAACAGATCCTATAATGGTAAAACAACAACAATCCCAAAGCTATTACAACATACATTGCTGTTTAAAAGTTTTGAACCTTTTGGATGTTCAATATTTCTGCATAATTTGATCTAACATATGATCTGTTCTCCACACAAATGTTAAAACATCAGAACTGTACACCAGGAATGACCATAGATCACAAAAGATCAAGTATGCATGCTGCTTCTGATGATAAGCATGGTTCCCCTCCCCATAAAAAAAAAACCTTTCTGAGGCAAATGTTTGTGTTTTGTCCATTCTTTAACTTTAATGCAGTTTGTAAATTCTGATATGGAAATATTAACTAACATTTCCCCTAATTTGAATGCCAAACAGTGCATCCTGCGCATTTATATAGTAAGCTTTCAAGAGCTGCAGTGAGCTTCCCACATTGGATGAAGTTAACTACAGCTCACAAGCATTTATGCTTTTTAATAATATTTGTTAGTCTGAAAATGTGCTGTCAGATAGTTTTGGTTTTTTTATACTATAGATTGCTACATTGAATATTAGTGTTTGTATTTAAGGAGCAAAAGCAATACAGTGGCACACACCTTATTTAGCTTTCCAGGTGAAAGTTATACATTCTTTCAGTTTTCCTATAAACAATTACAAGTAGCTAAAATGCATCCCCACAGTCATGAGAAGGAAGGCCTGACTGATAATGTTAGAAAGATTACTCTTTCTTGTTTCAAGAGATGAGATTATCTGTGTATCTAACCAAAGCACTTTAATCAGGGGTGGGATTCTACAGGTTTGCACCTATTCACTAGAATCAGTTGTTAACATTCTAAGCAGTTCAGAGAACCAGTTGTTAGAGGAAATTACTGGCCTAATCCTGTAAGCAAGGCAGGAAGGAAAGATTCTGGTGTTGCTTACAGAAACTGCCTCTCTGTTAACCCTTATTACATTCTTGGCAGGACTAAACTTTCTATCTCAGAAACTTCTCTGGATTTTTTTCCCCTCCTTTGCTGGTACTTTGCTTGTGTGGAGTGACCATTCAAAGTTACAATGGCACTGAAAAAAATGACTTATGACCATTTTTCACACTTACGACTGTTGCAGCATCCCCACAGTCATGAGAAGCCAGGCGAGGAGAAGCGCCCCTTGATATGAGTGATGTCGAGTTGGCCACGCCCACCCAGTCACATGACCACCAAGCCACACCCACCAACTAAGCCATGCCCACAGAACCATTTGTTAAAAAAATTTAATCCCATCCCTGACTTTAATGGTTATGTCTTGGGTGTTAGAGAATCTTTGAGAAGAAAGAAAGGAGGAAGGAAGGAAGGAAGGAAGGAAGGAAGGAAGGAAGGAAGGAAGG